GGTTTGAGGGTTTAGGGTTGTAGGGTTTAGGCTTTAGGGTTTGGGGTCCCTTGTGCCCAGTATCGACTTTGGCCTTACAGTAGTCTCTATATAGGTAAGGTAGGGCCAAACTTTATCCCGTGCGGGTACATCATTTGGACCCTTAGGGCCTTTGGTTTTCGTGGCTATGATGAAAACTTTCGTAACTATGACAGTGAGGACAATCTTCAGGTACGACAGGCAGCAACTGTGGCAGCAGCAGCAATAGTAATCCTAATCTGGTTTTCATGCAGCATCCTCCATGATAGAAAGCACACAGAAACACATACGGCTCTAGTCATTCCAGCCAGTGCAGGCAAAATCCTGCCAAGTCTGAGACAACGAAGCCCTAAACCATCGACAACCTGAACCCTACCACCTAAACCCTACAAGCCCTAACCCTAAACCCCGAACCCTGAACCCCAAACCTGACACACTAAGCCCCAACAGGCTCTAACCCCAAACCCCTCAACCCTTAACGTTTGGCCCTAAACCCTAAGCCCAAACCAGAAGCCCTAATTAAACTCTAAGCCTCGGCAAGGAAACCGCACTTTCCGAGCCTGGGCAGCGGCTGTAAGAGAACTCTGCATCTTTGGCCTCATGGACTCATGGGCTCTTCGTTTAGGGTTTAGGGGTTTAGGGGTTTAGGGGTTTAGGCTTTAGGGGTTTAGGGGTTTGTGCCTCATGGGCTCTTCGTTTAGGGTTTAGGGTTTAGGGGTTTAGGGTTTTGCAGAACGTGCAGAAGCCCTAAAACCTACCTGGAACCCCCAACAGTATGCAGAATAACCGCCTGTTTCAGGTGTTGGGCCATTATGGGTGCGGGGTTAGGTGAACCCTCAACCCGGATTCGAAAAGGGCTTTTGGTCTAGGTAGGGTGTAGGTAGCCTGGAGGGTGCAGGAGCTCTGCTGTTTCAGGCAAAGGGCCTCGGCCTGGGTTGCACACGGCCAGCAAAGCTAAAGCGATTCGGGACCAGGACAGACAGACAGGCAGACAGAGAGAGAGAGAGAGAAAGAGAGAGAGACACACACACACTCACACACTCACACTCACA